GTCACTCTAGAATTTTTCTTGAATACATGTCTCCGTAAAAACATGGATATCTGCTCCTTTTCACGATTTCCTCAAATTTCCGGGAAACTCAAGGGTGATGGAGCAAATCTGACACCGGATTTGGATTCAGCAGCCCAAAATACGTATAGTACACCTAGTCAGACCCCCAGCACAGACCACTGTTTTTAAATTGTGGGCCTGTGTAATTAGAAGAATCATTGTTTTAGTAAGTGTTATTAGAAAGATGGTTCTTCTAATTATTTTTCTGGTTAAAATCACGAAAAAGTATAGTTGAAAGCAACTTTATCTGAGTTGAAATTTTGCCCCTATGTTAAACCTTGAATTCTACACCGCAGTAGGAGCTAAGATAGCAAAGATTTAATTCTAATGATATAATTTACTCCTACTTTGACCCTAATAATGACTGAAATTTCTGCTTTTGCTTTCTTTAGCGTTAAAATAGGTTACATAATAGTAGGATCTTAGGAAGCAATGTAAGTTCAGTTGCGAAGCTCTATTGAAGCTTTAGCTCCTTCATAGAATATATATATTTTATAGAAGTATTTAAAAAATTTAATAAATAACGAAACAGAAACGTCAAATAGCATACAAAATATACATTTTATTTGTTGCATATATATCAGACATTATCAGGGTCAAAGTAGGAGTAAATTATATCATTAGAATTAAACCTTTGCTATCTTAGCTCTTACTGCGTAGAATTCAAGGTTCAACATAGGATCAAAATTTCGACTCGGAAATAAGTGTCAATGTCGTCAAAATAGGTTTCATCTAGGTTGCAGGTTATCTAAGTAGGCTCAAACTATTTTTAAGAGTGTCAAAATTTTGACAAGATAGAGTTAAAGGTTCAAAAGAGAAGTTAATGAGATCGTCAAAGTAGGTTCTAAACTATAAACTGTCCAAATAAGCGCAGATTATCCTTAATAGTGTCAAAGTAGCATCAAAATTTCGACTCGGGTATTTTCCTCTCAGTGTACGAATGAATTCTTTTTGAATTCTTTTGGAATTCTCTGTGCTATCCGGGCTGCACGTCCGCCCTGTGAGTTCGGAGGCCACGGGGCGGATCTGTCATAGGCTTCAGATAAACAATATAATAATAATAATAATAAGAAAATAAAAGCAATCATAGTAACGTAAGAAATGTCAGCACGGAACATATGCGAGATTAACGAATGTTTTCGGATATGTCCCCGTTAACTTACTCGGGATACTTGACGTTGGGCAACGCCTTCAGGAAGCAACGTTGTCGTAGTATACCTTCCCAGAGCTGCACGCCGACGATGCCGAAGATGAAGAAGACGAAGAAGCACAGCAACAAGACATTGCCCAGCATAGGGAGAGTGTCCAACAGCAGCATCACCAATATCCTCATACCTGTGGGAAGTTACGTTAAAATAATGCTCCACAAAATATTGATAATGGATACAACGATAAACTAATAGGTTAAGTTCCTCGAATCAAAATAACGTTGGCTCCTATTCGGACTTTCTTCAGGCATTAGAATATACAAGGTGTTCCAAAGTTAAACGATGAAATTTCGACCAAATGAGAGCAGAAATGAAAAAAGAATATTATATAAATGAAGACAGGATAGCTTTATTATCATGTTACATTGCAAAAATAGAAATTTATTTTATTTCTCGTTTCAAAATATCAGCTCCCACTTCTAATGCAAGCTTGATATCGTTGAGAGATTTAACACCCGGATAAACTTCCGAAAACTATCACCTAACACCCTATTGCCATCAATTTTGATTAACATATTCCAAATGATGTCAAAAGAAATGAGTAATTTGTAAATATATTATTGGAGATACATGGTAGATATATAATAATATATAAATAGTATAAAATATGTAAATTAAACATGTGCAAATAGTATTATTACAATAAAATTATCTTCATCTGAGTCTGAATAGAATAATGCAACGTGATGCGCTATATTGTTTATTACATTGTTCTTTTATTCTCGATTTTGCACTGATATGAATTAGTACTGTGTGTATATTTAATAATAGTTTATAAGAGAAGAGATAATTATATAAGACGAAGAAGATTGATTTAGAAAATGTGAATATAATTCGAAATACTGTATTCTAAATTACCAACGTTAATTAAATTAAATTATTCTTTCATGTGATTTTTCAATCAAGCCAAAGTTTCAGACACTTTTTGCTTTCAAATACTGTGTTGATTATCTTTTTATTGATAATATATTAGTTTTCCTATGTTTAGAAGTAGTTTTTATTACTCAACACATGGTTTTTTATAACTTCTTTTCAAACTAGTATTTCGAATTTGCTTCCTTTCCTTTATACTTTGACTATTGAAAATTATTGTATTTGTTAAAAAATTCGTCATATGTAACGCTGAACGTCAAGCGAGAAATATACAGGAAGATATAAACGACTTGCAAATTCTTTTCAATTACTCTCCTAGCAGCACGTATTAGTTGGTCGACGATTGGCCACTGTAGATTCTACGCTAATGCTTTATGCTGCTCGGCTTGTGATATAAAAGTTACTCCAGAATCTATTATTAAAATTACGGTCGAGATAGAGAGAGAGGGGGGGGGGAGAGGGAGAGAGAGGAGGAGAGAGAGAGAAAGTCTTGTGATAGTCGATATATTGTATACGTTTTGCGTTCACGCGATTCAACCTTGAATTTTGATCTTAATATCTGAAACTAGATACCTCTTCTTGCCAACTTTACTTGTTTCTCGGTCGATGCGCGATTATATCTGCACCGCCTCCGCTCCTTTTCAATTCTAAGATGAAATCGACCATGAATGCATCTACGATCTATAGGCGCAGTTATGTACACTCAGTTGCATTAATGCTATACCATTCACTATACTGAAAGAAAAATATAGTTACTTTCGGCATCAACTGTACTCTTTTGTGATTTTAACCACAAAAATAGTTAGAAAAACCATTGTTTTAGTAAGTGTTATTGGAAAGATGATTCTTCTAATTATTTTCCTGGTTAAATTCACAGAAAAGTATAGCTGACGCCGAAAGCAACTATATTTTTCTCCCAGTGTAGATTGATAATCACTAGAAAATTTCAACCAGCCGTGTCCGTTTCTAGATCGTTTTTCATGACTGTTGATTCATCAGATAAGCGGGATTGTGTAACAGAAGTGACATTTTGACAGCTTGACATTTATTACATACGTGTTTTTATCAGAAGGTCATCCGCTCACGTGCACTGAGAGAAAAATGTATGATATTTGGAACTATAATGGCATAGTAAAAATATTATAGTTAGGAATATAATTTTTATAGTAAATGTTATCATAATATTTGTAATATTTACAATATAAGTATAGTATAACTGATCCGTGTAAAATTTTTACCAAAAATTATAATTATTTGAAATAAAAAATATGATAAGGTGGCAAATATTGAATGGTAAGAGAAATTAACTATTTTATATAGTTAATACAATTGGAATATTTGGCAAATATAGGTACATGTAACTATATTTCCAAAAGGTACTTTACCATATATATAGAGTAATAAGATGGTGACTATAAATCTGTGTTCATTCTACTATATCTTCATGTTTAGATGAACTATAAATATATGTTTGAGGCCAAAACGAACTGTAAAATATAGTGAGATTATAATTATTCCAACTATTTTTTTCTCTTAGTGTGTAACGCGCAATCAGTAAAAGAAGAGTAAAAATGTTAAAAGTAAATAAAAAATATTTTTAAATATTCTTTTTACTTAAAATATTGTTTTTAAAATATAGTAAAGTAGAATGTTTATTAATATTCTAGGGCGCTTATCAAATAACGAATAGTTTGAAAGAAAATAGCGTGAAAGTATTAAAATAAAACACGGAAAACTGTCAAAACGTCACTTCTATTTTGACATATTCCCGCTTGCCGGATGGATGATCAATAGTCATGAAAAACAATCAGCTAGGAACGGCTGGTCGAAACTTTCTAGTGACTATCGATCCGATGAATGGTATAGCATCAATGCGACTGTAATACACTATGAAATTGGCGACAAGAGCTCGCTGGAGTTAACCATTAGGTGGCATACAGAAAAACTTAAGCAGTAAAACGTAAACAGTAAGCAAACTGACTAATCACAGTCGCTGATTTTTCTTACGGTCCAAAAATCAACGACTGTAATTGGTCAATTTGCTTACTGCTTACGTTTTACTGCTTAAGTTTTTCTGTGTGTCACGGCCCTTACTGATCTTTGACGTGTTCCACGAACGCCACTACAAATACAAAAGCACGCAGTCTCCGTGTGTACTTACTTGGTATTCGATTAATCGCTCGTAACGGCCTCAAAACCCTTATCGTCCGTATAGCTGACAGATTCATATTTTCCACGTTTAGGCAGTATTCCAAAGCGCTACAACGAAATCCAAACAAAGGATTTTTCTTTTAGCCGTATTCCCCACTTTTCTAGCATTCTTGCAGCGCGCATTTTGTAGTTTTTATTCGTAATTACTTTTCATGATCAAACAATGTATTATATATCTCCGTTATGTAACACATGTGCGCTTGTATGTACATACATTCGTTTGCAGGTTTGAGTATTTCTTTCTCAATGCATTTTAAAACGCAGTTCATATCCAATAGAAGAATTTGTTTTTTAATAATTCTCAAAAGATACATTTTTTTATTAGATATTTAATGTTTCGAGATGCATCGAAGAAATGTTCGTTTCGAAAATGAATATATACTTTTAGTCGAAAAGATTGTCCAATTTTTTTCTTATAACTTTAGAAGCCATCTTTCTTGACTAGAAGAGGAATTTATTTTCCAATAAAAAAATTCTCTTATTGAATAAAATGGATAAGTTTCAAAACTTACAAAAAAAAAAAAAAAAAAAAAAACTGACAACTTTTTCTACGAGTGTACAGGAGATATCATGAATGTCTTAACATTTACTAGATCGAGAGTTACTAAATATTTTGGAGCAAGGATACATTTGTTTTAGAAATGCATATATCATTAATGAGTAAATTATTCAAAAAAACGACAACGAGTGAATCTTTGACAGCCCGGACAGTTTCCCAGATAGCATAGATAATTCAAAAAGAATTTAGTCGTAAGTCACCAATTCTGAGTTTATTTTTAGATGCAAAAAGAATTCTTTTCACTGAACTGAACTCTGAAGAATTCTTTTTGTATCTGAACTCAGAATTGGTGACATACGACTGAATTCTTTTTGAATTCTCAGTGCTATCTGGGTTTATCATCTGCCAAATTAGAAAAACTCCTAACTCCAGTTCTTGACAAAATTGATAAAGCTTTTTCAAACAATACAAAATTTTGAGAGAAACCGGATGAAATGAGTATGTCAGTTTCGTCAAAAATTGGAATTAGGAATCCATACAACACAACATCTAAAATCGTGATATAAGACGTCTTAAAGACATTTTAGAAACCTATTATATTCTGATGTCTGAGAGACATCTTTAATACGTCTTTCAGACGTCTTGTGTCCCGATTTTAGACGTTGTGTTATGTGGGAAGTTTCCCAATTTAGTAGACAATAAGCTGTCCGAGCTGTCAGAAATCCAACCGTTAGAACATCGTTGCCGTTTCCTCGAATAATTTATAGTCATAGTATGTATATTTCTAGAAACGAATGTCTGCTCCAAAATATTTAGGAACTCTCGATTTAGTAAATGTTAAGGCATGCAGTGGTGCGATTCTGTAACTCTTAACGACACCCTTAGGAAAAATTACTTTACGTTGTTCAAATTAACTTAAAGTTGCTTAAAGTTATTTATAGTTAACTATAAATAACTTTAAGTAACTTTAAGCAACTTTAAGTTAATTTGAACATCTTAAAGTAATTTTTCCTAAGGGCAGTGTCGCTATCGTTATGTTGTCGTTGCGCAGGTTTTCTATCATATATTATATTTCCGTAAGGTCAACATAACGATAGCGACACTATCGTTAAAAATTCCCGATGAAAAATTTTTCATGCAAAATTATGTATGAAATTTGTCCATATATAATTATGTATAATTATATATAATCATATAAAATTATATATAATTATACACAATTATGTATAACAATATATATAATTACATATAAATCTATGCGTAATTATGTAAAATTATATATGAATTTATATATATAATTATACATAATTATGTATAATTACATATATAAGTAGAAAGTATGAACATAAATGGACAAATTTTATACATAATATTATATAATTATATATAATTATATATAATTTTATATAATTATATATGAAAAATTTTTTATTGGGTACAGAATCGCACCACAGGAAGTCGCGTGTACATCCGCGGCTAGATAGATTATTTGCCATTTTTTGTGTGAGTTTTAGAATACATTCGTTTCGTCCAATAAGATATATTTCATTTATTGAAAAAGAAATTCTCTTATTAACAAGATATATGCATTTCATAATTTATATACAAATAGCAGACAGCCAATGTGGCGACGACTGTCTGAGAAACTATAGTTATATGGTCCCTTAAGATGTCTTTACAAATAGTAGACAAATTGTAATAAAATTCAGCTAAATTGTAATAAAACAATTAATTTTAATTAATATAAATTAATATAAAATATAATATGTATAAATTAATATAATTATATAATTATTAATATAATTATATAATATACAAATTATATAATTATTAATATAATTATATCATATATATAAATTAATATAAATTTATGAAATATTACAATTATCACACGAATACCTATACTTTATATAAAACATGTTAAAAACATACTGGACATATTAAATGATAAATATTTGTTGCTTTTTATAATAGAATTTTACATATAATTGACTCGTTTCTTATTAGACCTATTTATTTCTTAATTATTTAATCAAAGCTATATAGAGAATATTTGGCCTGTACAGAGAGAACGATTTATTGAACCAAATAAATGTTTCTTTGGAATAGTGCAAACAAATTATTTGGTTGACACAACACAAATATTTCTTTGGAACTAAACCGCAAATAAATATTTTTGTTACTTCAAACAAAATTTTGTTCGATCAATTAAAAAATTTGTTTGGATTATTCCAGAAGTGTTTATTTGATTCAACCAAATCGTTCTTTCTGTGTACTTTGTTAAACTTTACATCACGCAAAGCTCTCGGAGGAAAGAGGCAGCGCATGTTAAGAAGATATAAAAAAAATTAGGTATTCGAGCGGGATACTCACCCAGCTAGCACTATAAAGAAGTCTAATCTATTCCAGGAGTCCGCGAGATAGGTTCCTTTACCGTAAATCCCCATCGCCACCATTTTGACGGTCATCTCCAGCGAGAAGAAGGCAAAAATTATATCATCGAACATCTGGAAGAAGCAGCCATGGGTACACGATTTAATTAAGCGCGCGAAGTGCGGGGCATGCGATCAACATTCAATTCACCGTAATTGATTAAGAGGCACTCAAGGATTCGATCAACAGCTCGATAATTTTCTCATCTCTTTCCCGCCCCATTCTCCCAACTTCTTTGACACACTACCAATTACGAGCCGGTCGCTAATCCTATTAAAACATGCAATCGATTGATTCGCTTATTGGCAATCGCCGGTAATCGCCGTTATGTCACTTTTCCCCTTCGGTGTAAGAATAGGCTTAATCGACCTGTAAATCCATCGTACTCCATTTTGATGGATTTTTTTTCGCACACAAAAGCATTTATAACATCGTTCAAAAATCGAATTTTTTTCCTCCCATGAAAAATTCAAAGAGATGTGAAAAATAAGTGTAAAACATTTATTATCCCGTGTCTCAGCGTTTTACAAGATCAAGTCGTTAACGTTTTTTATGCAGCCATTTATAATATTTGTCTTATATTGGGTTTTAAAATTGTTCTAAATTATATGTTAACTTTTTTATTTAAATAATTGATGTTTTTCCATGTAAAATTGTCCGCTGCGTGCGAATATGATAATAGGAAGTCGATACCCTTAGGAAAAATTACTTTAAGTTGTTCAAATTAACTTAAAGTTGCTTAAAGTTAATTTGAACATCTTAAAGTAATTTTTCCTAAAGGTAAAAACAGTTTAAAACCGTGAAATATTTAATTTGTAAAAAAAGGAGAAACATACCCGTGTCTCAGCATTTTACAAGATCAAGTCGTTTGTTAGAGCTATTTTATAATAACCGATTTGTTACTTTAAGACAATGTATTATGCTTTAAGTCTTTATGTTGTTTCGTGTCTCAAAGAATCAATATGTTTCTGAATTATAACAAATCAGAAGTATAATAAAAAAAAACAAGTATCTAAAAAAGTATTAGTTACTATAGATACTTGTTGTTTTGGCTACCGATATTGCTGGTCTATTGTTCATGATACAGAATCGGAATCATACAAACCAAACAACCAAGATTCTTAACAAAATCTGTAAAAAAGATGGAAAATAAATGAAAATATTAAAAAAATTCAGATCAGTTTTCATTTATAAATTAAATATTTTACGATTTTAAACTGTTTCTATCAACTTACTAATATCATATTCGCATTCAGCGGATAATTTTACATGGAAAAACATTAATTATTTAAATAAAAAAGTTAACACATAATTTAGAACAGTTTTAAAAGCCAATATGACAAATACAATAAATAACTGCACAGTTAACGACTTGATCTTGTAAAACGCTGAGAAATGGGTATGTTTTTTTTTATTATCAGAATTTATTATCAGAATTTCTTTGAATTTCTCATGGGAGGGAACCTGTGTTGTACGATGTAATTACTAGAAAGTCGTTCTTATAGAAATATTTTCCTCATTCGAATAAATAAATAACTTTAAGTAACTTTAAGCAACTTTAAGTTAATTTAAACAATTTAAAGTAATTTTTCCTAAGAGTATTTCTAATAAAATCTTTTATAAAAAAGTTAACATATAATTTAGAACAGTTTTAAAAGCCAATATAAGATAAATACAATAAATCCGGTACATCTACCGCGCTTTCTTCAACTTCTGATGCGGTAGAATACGAGGATAGGGTGAAAAATTGCGGGCCTCACATATAAATAACTTTACTATGTTTAATATTTGAATAGTGTTGCGTGATTTTATTCTTCATATGCTTATATTCGAAGGTTCAAGTCAATAAATTGTTCAGTAGGCGCTAAAGTAAACGCCTCAAGCATTGTTTGTAAAAATTGAAAAAGTGGAAATTCGTGTAGTGATTAAGCTAAAATCAATGAATTGAAGTTCGAATCGCTTGCCCACCCACCATACTCGTCAGATTTAACCCCAAGCGACTTCTATCTCTTTCCCAACCTCAACAAATGGCTCGATGGAAAAAGATTTGCCAATGACAATCAAGTCAGCGACGCTGTAAATGGCTATTTTGAGGACCTTGACAAATCGACCTATCAGTCTGGCGTAATCGCTTTAGAACATCATTGGGAAAAGTGTGTCATGCTAAATGGAGATTATGTTGAGAAATAAATGAAAATCGATCCAAAAAGATTCTGTTTTCTTATTCAGGCCCTGAATTTTTCACCCTATCCACGTAGACTATTCGTGGCCTCGCGACATTAATACACGGAAAAAACAATATGGTTAATCCATACAGAAATCTGGTTGTGCCAACCAGATTCAATAGTAAAATACGGAACAACTATTTATGTGGTTGCTGTAACTAAAGAGCAATGGCTGAGTTGCTTATGTTGCAGCAGTGATAATACATGGTTAATACAAATGCGGCTCATTACGCGGCAACTACAAATATATATTTATACACTCAGAACCAGTTTTCATATGTATACATCTCTAGCTGTGCGCGTAGTGAATTGCTTTTGTTTTCTAACAAAAGCTGCTTTGCACTGAGAGAAAAAAATAGTTGGAATAACTATAATCTCACTATATTTTATAGTTCGTTTTGGCCTCAAACATATATTTATAGTTCATCTAAACATGAAGATGTAGTAGAATGAACACAGATTTATAGTCACCATCTTATTATTCTATATATATGGTAAAACACCTTTTGGGAATATAGTTACATGTACCTATATTTGCCAAATATTCCAATTGTATTGACTATATAAAATAGTTAATTTCTCTTACCATTCAATATTTGCCACCTTACCATATTTTTTATTTCAAATAATTATAATTCTTGGTAAAAATTTTACACGGGTCAGTTATACTATACTTATATTGTAAATATTACAAATATTATGGTAACATTTACTATAAAAATTATTAACTATTAATTATTAATTATTAATTCCTAACTATAATATTTTTACTATGCCATTATAGTTCCAAATATCATACATTTTTCTCTCAGTGTGCAATATAACATTGATAAATGCAACTATATCGATATTTAGCTTGTCTATGCAAAAAGATCCCCTTACTAATTTCTGGTTGCCACTACCAGATCACGCGCAACTTCATTGATGTAGTTGACACACCAAAGTAAGTAAGTCAAATCAACCATACACATAACTATCATACAAAGATACGTAGAATGATGCAGCTATTTGCTTACAACTAAATATTTTTTGTTAGGTGCACCACATCTCTTTTTTTCGTGTACTCGTGCACATACGTACCTGCAGTATCTTACATCGATTGGTTACACACTGATCGTCCACGCACGGCTGGTACATCCCGAGCGTGATGCAGTTCAGAAGTATCACCATCATGCTCACTCTTTCGAACCACGTGAGTATTTGTTAAGGAAAAATCGATAACTGAGTGTTTTTCTTTCACGAATGAACGACGAGAGATCGTGGACAGATAATAAAAGTGGTTAACTACATTTGCCTTCAAACTGAGAAAATTGACGAAAACTGTTTGCTTAGAGAATAAGCGTAGTGAAAAAGTAAATGAATATAAAAGCATGTATTGGGTAAATCGGGTACGCTTTTTTATTCTGCAATAAAAAATTAACTTTTTAAATATGTACCACTCAAAAACGCACTTAAGGTTCTTGCTTTTTGAAAATACAAGAGAAAAAAAGTCGCAAAGTGACTTGATAGTTTACAACATAAGAAAACCGTAACTACGAAAGACTTTTCTTTTGTAATAAGGATTATGCTTTACCAATGCTTTTGCCAGAGAAGAAAGCATTAATGGATGTTGTGGTCTTTTTCACGTGTATTTTTGTGACATATTGGACGTATCGTATAATTTTTTTGTCAATTACGACTTCTTTTCTGACTATTTTGTCATATTTCAAATTTTACCTAAAGTTAACCCGTTTTTATTTTAATAAATAATAATAATTTTTAGTTTTTGTAAATATAGTTAGACGTAGTTCTTTGTCACGAATCTATTAGTATAAAAAACTTATTTTTCTTAAAAATGTGACTTAACTACTTTTTTCCTTGGCACGACAGATATGTCGTAAACTTGAATTTGCAGTGATTCGATGAACAATACATACTGTTTTTAATTTTGTGATTTTTACAATATTTTCTATAACATGCTTCTCATTTCAACGAAGATAATTACATATCTATAGTGTAAATAAAATATATTTGCAGATTAATATTTGCATTTTTTCTTTGTGCAATTTATTTTCATAAAAGTTTTTTATGATTTATAATTTCCTAACTGTATAAAAGTCATTTAACATTAAGCTATTAATTAATTTAACGTTAAGCTATTAAGTAATTTAATGTTAAGCTATTGAAATGTATAAAATAAAGAGTTAATTCTGTTATTTCAAAATGGTACATAACTTCTTTGTTCAGTTTGACCTGTTCTACTTGCATACCACGGCCGTGCCTGGAATTTTCAAACAACCTATAAATCGTGACTGTTTTACTCAACGAAGTATACAGCGAGTATAAAGATATAGTATACAAATATTGTTTTCTCTGATTTTATTAGCCTAAAGCTTATGTTAGCCATGCATTTTATTTATATATTTATCACAAGAAGAACAGTGGAAATAAAATTACAAAATATTCCTTTTTAGAACATAAGTTCATATATATTCTAAGTTTTATTAAAATCTAAATAACACTTTATAATTAGAAAATAGCAAAAATTGCTTTAGGAGCTTTGGAGGGTTTCAATAAATTTTTGAGTATACCGAAATGTTTTGTTAATTCTTTATAGTGAGTGAATAAACTTGTATGACGTCTCAAATAGCACAGAGAATTTAAAAAATAATTTAGTCGTAGATTACCAATTTTGAGTTCATTTTCAGATGCAAAAAGAATCCTTTAACGTCGGAATTAGACAAAGAAGAATCCACGCGGCTCAAACCCGAAAACCAAATCTGAAATTCTTCAGAGTTCAATTCTGTGAAAAGAATTCTGTTTGCATCTAAAAAGCTCAGAATTAATGAGACTAAATTCTTTTTGAATTCTTTGTGTTATCTGGGATATCTCAACTGTTAATAATAGCAGAAAGTTAATTCTTAGCTTTTCTGACAAAACTTAATTTTTATTTGAAAATAAACAAAAAGAGCTCAATCATCGAAATGTTCCTCGTTATTATCGATGACTTTCCGTCATCTTTCGGGCAGCTTGCGAATTCCCAGATGCTTCGAAGCGATAAAGTTATCGATGCTTTTTCGGATTTCTTCTGTTCTGAAGTGAGTATCAATCAAGTGATGCCGCATCGCCTGAAATAGGTGATCGGAAGAAGCTATGTCTGGTGAGTGCGCCACGTGCGGAAGAAGTTCCTAGCTCAACGTGAAGATGATTTGTTTCATCGACAACATACAATATATGTGGTCGAAAAACTTTAACAATCACATGCTTAGTCAATATTGACGTCTAATTATGTCGGTTTGTGCACATTGTACGTTATAAAAGGTTATAACTTGATATATTAAAGGAACTGTATTTGACTGGAGGGTCAAATTGCTTGAAAATCGTGCTTGTTTTTCCACAATTTTTTATGACAAACTAAATGAATATGTGAAAGTGTTATTTTGACGTGTATTTATACGTATAAAGAGAAGAAAAATATAATTTTGACAATCAAATACTCAATATAAGTGTATGGTACATGCAGTTAAAATATATTTTGTTTTTCTTTTCGTCATTTTGCAGTAATATCTTGACTCTCGGTGGTTCAATTAAGCTGAATTTTATTGTGTGAACCACTATAATAGAAATTGAGTAAAAGTTAACAAAAGTGAAAATATTTTAATGGAATATTATTAAATTTTCAGTTTCTTTATGGTAAAAGAATTAATATTTTAAAATTAAATATTTTCGCGAGTTTGTCAGTGGTTTAACCGATAACGACAAGCGCGCGCTTACGGAAATTTTCTACCTAAAATTCAGCTTAATTGAAACATCGAGTCAAGATATTACTGCAAAATGACGATCTTGAAAATAAAAACCAAATATATTTTAACTGCATGTACCATACACTTATATTGAGTATTTGATCATCAAAATTATATTTTCCTTCTCTTTATATGTTGTATAAATGCACGTCAAAATAACACTTTTGCCTATTCATTCAATTTGTCATAAAAAAATGTGAAAGAATAAGCACGATTTTCAGGCAATCTGACCCTCCATTCCCCTTAAGATAAGTTATTAAGATAAAAAAGTGTATTAATTTTCCTTAAGGAAAAGTGGAAGGCAAACTCGAAAAATGTCAATAACGTAGAGACGATTGTCACTAATTGATTATACAATGCTTCTCGTATTTCTTGTACAATTTTGTGCAATCAGAAAGATTTCCCGGTTTTTTTGTGACGCATCCGTTTTGTCCAATAAAAGAATTTGTTGGTCAATAATAGTATTTTCTTATTAGACAAGACGGATATTTCGAAAGTCACAAATAAAACAATATAACTTTTCGGACGTTGATTCGATATAGATTTTAATTCTCTCTATTCCTCTCTTTTAATCATACATGTATAGAAATCTTTTTACAAATTTTTCGTATATTTTTGAATTTATCTCTAAATCGATTTGTAAAGATACAAAAATGTTCCTTAAAATTTTCGTTAGCGAAGCAAATATATACGTGTGCTACGCACAAACTGCTCAACTTTTGTATCAAATAAATATTTGCGCTACCGGATAGCTTGAGATATCAATTTTAAAATTTTTTATTGTTTTTGTCACATAATATTTTAATTCATGTATTTTCAATGTGTAAAAGCACTTATAATTTTGTGTAACCAATACGACGTAAACTTTGCAGAAAAAAGTCAGTATTTCGTCGGTGAAGTTTTCAAGTGGCCTCCTCTTGAGGACAAAATTACGGCACTTTGGTCATGCGTTCCGAGTTGCTATTATTTAACACTTGGACACGTCAATCCAGATAGCACCCAGAGAGTTCAAAAAGAATTCAGT